ATGTTTTAAGTAAAAATTTGCTGACTCAGTGCACTCCTCCATTTTCATATCGTTTCTAAATTAAAGAATTAATAATTAACATTTTGTCATGTTTGGCCATTTAGTCCCGCTACTTTCATCTTAGTCAATCATGCTTGTCACGGGTAAGAAAGGACGTCATTACATCACCTGCTTTAGAAACTATTCAAAAAAGATGTATTGTTTTTTTTTCTTCTTAGTACAGTTGCTTAACAGTAATTCGAATTTGTGCTGTAAAATACAAATAATTACAACCAATGATAATGGTAAAGTTTTTTTCTTCATATTAGTTGAAGTAGAAATAACATCATCCTTCCTTCTCCTTTATGAAGTAGGGCTGTAATATGTATCAGTGACGTCTGTATATAATATTTAGAATTCTGTTTTTATCTGTTGGATGTTGGGGTTTTTTGTTTGTTTTGTTTTGTTATAGTATATTTCCAACTCTAGGGTCTTTTCTTCATGAAAAGACATCATGTTAATAATAGCCAAAACTGGCATTTTCTTTATGGGGTTGTTTTTGGTTTGGGGTTTTTTTGGGGGGAGAGGGTGAGGGGGGGATGTTCTTCTCACAACAGAGGGAAAAAATATTCCAGTTCCTTTCCCTTTGGAATAATAAGTAGTGAACATACAGGGATTTGGTAGTGCATTTTAAAGATGATAATGGGATTATTTTTTCCTTTTGTGAACACGTATGAATGTTTTGCTAGCTTTTTCCAAGTTGACAAATACAATAAGCCTTTGTCTTCTTCACTATATTGTATTTAAACGTGTCCTAAGAATTGGTGGCTAAATCTGTTAAATCAGAATGCCCCCAGTCACGAACTATGATGTCATAAGAGGGGGTTTGTAACTGTCATGTCAGAAGTGTTGACAATAGTGTATTACTTCAGTTTGCTTTTAATCAAGCATGTGGCAAACAACATGAGTATTGTTATTTTTTTTGTATCATATAAACCAGCTTCTTTTCCTGCAGCCATTCCTGTATTTGTTTCCTGCTTCTGCTCTGGTTGCCACACTGCGAAGCAGCTGCAGGTGATTATTTTGCCAAGTTCTGAAATTCTTCAGGTTTCCCTTTTATCTTCATGCAGCCTTGAAAAAAGGGAAGGAAGTGTATGGTGTTGTGTAGCAATCTTCCTTTTCATTTCAGGGTCTTTCTCTTTCTTGTTAATTTGTCACTACTAGCAATTCTCAAGGCAGGCTCCATTGAGTGCACTTATAAATCCATACAATGTGGAGAAATAACGATACTTAAACTTGAGGGGTTTTTACCTTCCTTAGAATTTTTAGTGTCTCAGGATGATTTAAATTGGTTGCACAAGTGGTGCCATAGATGGCCTTTGCAGTTACAGATCCACTGAAATGAGATCTTCTGATTACTCCTTCAAAGAAACCATATACAGATACGTGTAGTTGTGACCTCCCTCTTCAAAATGCTTTGCATCCGTTCATTCAACTAAGAGACAAGTTCTTATCTATGCAGAAAAATACTTGTTCCTTTCTAAAGATGTTTGTGGAGGGGTTTGGTGGGGAAGAAAGTTTCTTGACCAAAACCAAAGTTGGATAAATCAGTTTGGATGAATCTGCTCTGGCTACTAGGAAGAAGAAGAGCCATGTACTGCCCAGTCTGCTCATCCTCCAGAGACTCGGAGGCTGACTGTGGTGTCCCCACCGAGGAAGTAAAGCTTGCTCTTAGTTTCTGTTTTATTTTGTTAGAATGTGCTAGAAGAACTTTAAAAATTCATATGAAACAACCTTCACAATTTAAGTTTGTATAAATATAAGTGTTTCCCTGATAATGTTGCAATAAGTTAGAGATCAGCTGAGAGGCTGTACTTAATGGTGTAGTTGAATTGCTCTTACAGTAACAGTTAACTGTAAGTTAACTGTTACTTAAAGGGGAAGTTCTGTTTTGCAGCTCTGTTGTTCTACGCCTTGCCTTGTGCTGGTGTTAGTAAGATGGCTTAGTGGTATCTTCAAAGTGTATTCTAAGGCAAAGGGAAAATCTGCCTTGTTGAGAGTTAATCTGAGTTGTGTGAAAGATTTGGGCACAGCTTATGTATCCCTACTATAAATAGTGCTTCATATACTTGTGATGCATCTTTTAATGAGGATTTACTTAAAAAGGGGCTGGGGAAATGTTAAGGGTCCCCGGATGCTTAGCTGTTTATGTGCATGTGATTTATAATTTCCTTGAACATCCTGTATAGAAAAATCCTGTTATATTTGTTCATAAAATTCCTTTTAAATACCTGTAGCCATCTAATTAAGGAAATAAACTACCCTAACTTCCTCTCCAACAGTTTTTGTAAGCTACCTGTTGTGGTAGCAACTTCTATATGCTCTGAACAGTGACTGAATTGTAGAAGACAAAATATTAATTTAAGAAAATGTAGTAGTGTGACTATTCTCTTCAGCAGCTGCAGCAGGTATTGCATATCATCAGAAAATGGAAGGCCTATCTGCAAATTTATCCGTGACAGTAACATCAGGGGCACCAGCAAGAATTGTGTTATGATTTGTACAAATCTAGAGATGAGACCAAGAAGTGGGCAGAGCAGGCAAGGCACAAAAAACAAGATTCTGCATGAAAACATTCCCA